TGGACAGTTGGAACCCGGCGTCTCGCTGGCGGGCCGGGCCGCGGCGGCGGCCCCGGGGGTGGTCGGGGGGAAAGGAGCGGGCTGGGAGGGGAGCGAAGCCGGCGGCGAAACGCAAGGAACGCCCCGCCGCCTGCCACCCCCCGCCCCGGGCCAGCCCGGTCGGAGGAGCAGCTCTCGGACCCAGTTTGGACCTCGGCTGCATCTCGCTTGAGTCGCATCCGCCCCTGCTGCCGGCCGCCATCACCGCGATGGAATGAAACTTCTTGTCTACCTGTGATGTCTATGGCGATGTAAAACAGACTAGATTCACTGTGTGGATGCAGAGCTGCAAAATGAAGTTTGGGTTCTGCTTCCGTTTGGTGTTTCAAAGTTATAATGTTATGCACTGATCTATACTACATCAGTTCCTTCAGTGGTACCAGAAAGGTATATCCTCCTTGTGGGAACACATGCACAGCCAAACACGCACATGCTCCTTTTGTAGCACGTGCTAGGCTTCTGGAGTGCAAACACCTACATACTACGCTTAACTTTCCATTGGAGAAAAGTGGGCTAAATAATCACATTCCCGAGAGTCGGGAGAGGTGGGCTTCTCTAAGAACACATGCTCTGAATAGGTAAAATTACATGTTCTTGGTATTTTTGAGGGCACGTACATGTAAAGATTGCTCTGAAATTGGTTTGGACCAACAATAGAATTGTTGACATTGACATCTTCTGTTTACTACAGCTGAATACTTTTACTGTTAAAATTCCACATCCCTACATGACTCTCATAATTTTCTTTGGGTTGCAGGTGTATCATTCATAAACTACATATATTTGCCAGTGTCCATCAAAAACGTTTTTATTGGGAGCGATAGAGCTGCAGAATCCAAGGAACAAAGCCATGTAATCAATAGTCTCATTTTAGGTTGCGCCATTTTTCTGTCAAGAGGCCAGAAAAGAAATCTTACCTCATTAGTGCTTACACAGTTAACCTGGTGGACCTGGAGTTTCTTAGTTGGAAATAAAATGATTGATACATTTTCATCAGTTTGCAGCTTACTATCTCAATTTTAATTGCAAAATTAGTTCATGATTTTTCAATACATTTATTTGTTCTTTTTTTTCTGATGGTCACTTGACAAGTATATTTGATTCTCATGAGCTTTTTAATATCAAACATCCCCTGTGGAGGGCACAACTGTAGACAGTAATACTAACATTGTGATTGAAACTAAGCAATTGACAAGTTCTACAGGGAGACATACACCTAAAGGCACACACACACTACCTCTGATTCTGATCTTCTATCTCAATAATTGTCAAAATCTTTAAGGGATGCTTTCTTAGAGGCATAAACATTATTGCATCTGTAAAGTGAAATAGTCTATTCAATTAGGTATACCTCTGCAAGCACTTAATAAAATTCTATTAAATAGCTGAGATGTTAGTGTTCCCATCTCCATCTTTAATGTTTCTCTCCAACCTCTTTGCATTTTTCCTACTGTGAAGTGTGGAAGAGGTGGCATCCCTATCAGGAAGTAATAGGATAACAGCTATTTTTCTTCCTTCTTTTTGCAATGTCTCTTGAAAACCAGAATTAAGATTTAGCATTATCAGTAAATTTCATTAAGTCGGTTCTTCTAAACTTAAAAACTAAGAAGTGTCTCTTAACTGTATTCCTTTAAAAATAAGTAAATATGAAAGAGAAGTATGGTAAATATTAATGGACAGTCCTAATCGGGCCTAAGTGACTCACAGAAATTTGATTGGCCACTAGAAAATACAGTCCTTAGACCTCACCTTCAACTTAGTAAGGATGTTTAGGTAATGACTACAGAATCACAGAATTTTCAGAGTTGGAAGGGACCTCTAGAGATCACCAAGTCCCACTCCCCTGCTAAAGCAGGATTGCCCAGAGCACATTACTCAGGACTGCATCCAGGCAGGTTTTGAAAATCTCCAGAGAAGGAGACTCAACACCCTCCCTGGGCAGCCTGTGCCACTGCTCTGTCACCCGAACTGTAAAGAAGTTTTTCCGTGGTAAAGAAGTTTTTCCATGGCTTTAGATATTCATAATCATGCTCTTTTATATGCAAATTAGTCCTGTGCAATAAATCAAATTACAGAATTTGGCCCTTAAATAATCTTAGATTTTAAAAATCAGAATATTCAAGCATGGCGTTGTATCAAACGCATTCTTTGAGATGACTGATCCACAAAGAAGAGGCAGCTGGTGGGAACATGTTATAATTTCTAATCTTTGAAATCTTACCTGTATAACTAAAGATCCAGAGTTTTTGTTACAATCCACAAAAACAATGGGGCATGGATTCTACGTGCTATATGTTCTGATATAGCTGGTTGCAGCAATGTGAAGGACTTTGCTGTTTCTGATAAATGGCCTAAAATTAGTTGATAGTTTGTATTACAGTGTTAAAAAGATACAAAGGCACTGGACAGATTTACTTCGGTGAGGATGTTTGTAACTGAAAACTTGAAACTCTGTAGGCTGGATCGAGCCACCAAAATATTTAGGCACATATTGAATGGCATGTGTTTCAGCGGTGCTCGTTGTTACACTGAAACTATTCTGCATGAAAAACTGGTGTGTATTTGTAAGCAAGGTTCTGGAGCAGACCCACAAGTAGGCACATCATGAAAGATAAAAGATAGACTTGCAATTTCACTATCTTGACATAAGCAAGAACTTTAAAAGCTTCTTTCTTGTTGGTTTTGTTTTGTTTCTTTGTTTTGTTTTGGTTTTTTTTAAATTAAAAAGCAGCTGCAAGATTGTTGAGGCTTAAATTTGCACTCCTTTGCAGCAGAAGTTAGAAAACATGGCTTTTTATTGGCTTTTACTTTTTAATGGTGAACTGTGAATTTAAATGAAAACAAGTATATTCCTACTGACAGGCTAATCAAGGCCTTCCCCACACTAAGAACATTGTACCAATTTAACTTGAGACCATTTTAAAGTGATTTTCATCTGTTTGTAACACATTTTACAGCTGTGTTAGCAGTGGCTTCTCATTATGCTTGGAACTTTGAAGCTGCTAAAGCTAATGCTGTTACTCTGGCTTCAACATTAACAAGGCTTAAAAGTGGATGTTCTAAATCATCTTTACAATTTGTAATCCAGGGAACAAAGTCACTGTAAAATCCACTGACAGCATGCCAAAATAAAGTCAGAGGATATTGGTAAGAAGAGGACTTTCTTTGGGGCGGTGAGGGAGGGAGGAGGAGTACTTTGAGTTACAAATCTATTAAACGTCATTTGAGTCCTTGACCAGGACAAATTTACAACATTAATGTTGGAACAAGTGTGATTTGTGTTAACTTTTTGCAAAATTCCCTGGAAAATATTTCTGGCAGTAATACTGTGTACTGAAACCTGAGTGTATCCAGCTTTGTACTGATTTTTAGAAGAGGTCTTTAAAAGGCCTCTTCTGTGCAGGTGAAAGTCCTGTTAAGTCAGGGAATCCTCCTTGTCCCAACTCAGCTGGGTCTACATATGGAGTTTGTTACGAGAATCAAAGTAAACGGAGAGTGGGGGCTTGGCCAGCAGGCTTTTTTGATAGCTTCCCTGTTACTGTCCACTATTAAACCCCACACAACAGAACCCAACTAATCACCAATGGAAGTTAAGAATTTTTACTTCTCTTTCAATCTAGTAAAATTACTGATTGCTTCCTATTAGCCATCCTTCCAAATATCTACACTCAATATAGCATAATGAAAGTTTTGTATACAACCTCTTGGCTACAAGATAGATTTTTTTAAAAGGCTGCTTAGCATGCTATCGGTATCTGTACACTGTAAATCTTTCAAGCAAAAAGCTTGAAATTGCTATAGTATTTGGATGGGAATTTTCTGAGGAACATGGATATGCTACAGGTAATGATCTTGATAATTTGGTACAT